GAGGAAAGTAGAGGGAGAGTTAAAACATCAATGGTGAGAATCATTGATCAACTGTCTCCTGCACGCCCCCTACTGTGGATTGAGCACCCCACCCAGCCATGTGCCATGAGCAGAATCAAACCTGGGATCCTTCAGTCCACAGGCCAACGCTCTATCCACTGGGCAACACCAGCTGTGTGTGTGTGTGTGTGTGTGTGTGTGTGTGTGTGTGTGTGTGTGTTTAAAGTACACCTGCCAGTTGCTGAGCCAGCTCAGTCTTCACTCCGAGCCTTTGCACATCCTGATACCTTTCCTGGGAGGACTTCTCTCATCTCATTCCACTGGTTGCCAAAAGCAGAATCCACTTCATACAACCCTAGTCGTGGCCTTAGGACTCTGGGCTGAGTGTCCCCAGGTCCCAGGGCAGGAGGAGGGGCCGACGGCCCCACAGGCACCACGACCTCAGAGGCCACCAGAGTGTGAGGCCCTGACAGGAGCCCCACAGCCCCGTCCCCCACAGGCTGCGGTACCAAAAGCCCCAGACACACCCTGCACAGCGGCGGCGCTGCCTTCTGCTACTCGATACCCATGGGCCGAAGCCCGAGTCCCAGAACAGAACAAAAAAAAAATCCAAATGTCCGCGGGGAGGAGGACGCCGGAAGTCCCGCCCTAATGGAATGAGCAGCCACCAAAATGCGCTTTACCTCCGCTGACTTGAGCGCATTGCTTTCTGGGTAATGTAGTCTTTCGGCCGCCCAGGGCCTCGTTTGTGACCAGGTGCTGCTTCTTCTCATCTTGGGTGCCTTCCACCGGCGGGGAGGGTGGGAAAGTCTTCCCAGGCACCTCAGGGCTTCTCCAGCACCAGGCCCCTCTCAATGCTGAGGAGCCCCACAGGGGCAGTGAGATTTCACAGGAAGTTCTCAGTGGAAAAAGTCCTCACCACCAATGGGGTGAATGTGAAAAAGCTGCAACAGCCAGAAAGTTATTCAACGTCAGGGTGTCTGTTCTGGAGAAGTGAAGTATGAGTCTAACAAATGTGGGAAAGTTTTTTTAAAAAATACATATATTTTGCCGAAACCGGTTTGGCTCAGTGGATGGAGCGTCGGCCTGTGGACTGAAAGGTCCCGGGTTCGATTCCGGTCAAGGGC